GGAGGGAGGGAGAGGGATCGCGGCCGCTTTGTGGCACGAGGATACACGCGTACAGAACCATCGTCTTGCCCGAAATTGCAACGTTCCCCCCCCTTTGGTTCCTCCTTCTCCTTCGCTTCACCTCGAACGAATTAATCGTGGAAAGATTTCAAAGGGATCTCTGTCTTTCTCTCCATCGCGAGAATTAATCCTTCGAGCGTAATCCGCCATGTTTGCCTTTCATATATTGTTCGTTATGGACGCGAATAAACGGGATTCTTCGTATTTTTCATCGAATTTGTTAAATTTTGTTAAGTGTATTTTGAAGAGTTCCAGGGGTATATAAATTTTGATATATAAATATTGGAAGGGGAGGTTGAAATATTCTAAATCATTTTGCTTAATTGTTCCTCATTCGCTCGTGGAGTATTGGGATAATTTAATAACCTTTGAATTTAAATTTCTTTTTCGAAAGAGTGTTAACTATATAACGTTAAGTGTTTCGCGATTTCCAATTGTGAGAAAATAAAATTTCACGCGAAACGATCTCTTTTGACAATTCGACGATCTCGACACGATCGAACCGAATTAAAACAGTGAGATGTTAACCCGCAGAAATTGTTTAAGCTGTTTGATCATCGTCGCGGCGATTTATGTTTCATTCCGCTAAACGAGGGGGAGGACTCATGAATAATTTCATCACCGATGAAAATTCATTCTCATCTTGAAACTATACCCTGAATATTTCCACCTGATATTATTCCACGTACGATCATTCGCCGTGCACGTATATCCTGTATCTCCGTTTATTTTATACAGCCGAGAGAAAAAAGAATCAATATTTCGGAATATTTTCGGATCGGAACGATCTTCGATATATAATAAAAATTCTTCGAGGATATCGCATCGATTGATGTATACCTTTTTCTTTTTTTTTTTTTCTTCTTCTTCTTTTCAGACAAACTTTATTAAAGTGTTATTTATTTGTTATTTCGTTCCGATGAAACAAAGACATTTCTTACGTTTTTCTTACGTTCCAATTTTTCTTAATAAATAATCGATCGATAAAAAAGATTCCTTCCTCGTACAATCTTGATATTAATTATTTTTCTTTCTTTCCTTTTTTTTTTTTTTTTTTATCACTCGTGAAAAGAAAGT